TACTCCTTTGACTACTGGTGGTACACATGTGTACCACTTTCGTAGTCAAAGGCACTACCACAGTTTGGCACTTATTGAGATCGGAGGCCCGCTTGATGGTGGAATTGTGCACAGATAGAAACTTCATATTCTTACTCTTACAACAAGATCGTCCAATTTGAGGCGAGTCACCCTGGGTGAGTTTCCAAAGCATACGTACTAAAGGTCACTAGCCGTTGTGCGCAGTTTTCATGTTTTGCACACTTTTACTGGAATTGACAGTGACATGCACTGAGATGAGTATTTGTGAATGGTAACTAAATTGCCGCTTCAACTCTCGAAAATATTCATTTGAGCGATAATGGATATGGGAAAGAGGGACCACTACCGCGGGCATGGTCCCTCGATCCCAGGTCGAACACAGTGTACGTGAGCCAAATTTCTGTAGATGATCAGCTGTTGCCAGGAGCGAACGTTAGTCTCCGAAAATATATGAATACACAGCGTGCCATGAATATGGTAGCAAATCAACGAGCAAAGTATGCATTAATGGGACAGAAACCAATATTTGAAATAAAACCTAACGAAACTCTGCAGATATTCACAATATGTACGTAGCTACCGAACAGCTGGAAGGTGCTCAAATATTGGTGTCTCCAAACGATCTGCAGCGTGCAGAGACTTTCGCTGTACGCAGAGTATAACACCTGTTGAAGGCAAATATATTTGATCTATCCTTCTATCTATCTTTCCTTCTTATGATTGTTCAAGTTAGAGGTCAGGAAATGGAAGCGGAAATCCCTGTCACTCCAGAAGCACTGAATAAAACAGGAAAAACAAAATTTCCTATCCAACGCCCAATGCCGTCGTCTTTTTCGCGGTTTATGCAGGTACGAGAACTACAAGGAGTGTGCGTGTTTGAATGAGCTCCTTGTGCGGGCAGTGTAGGATTCGGTGACTTTGAATGATATTTTCTACTTTTCATATTTCAGCTCGGCTGCATGGAATAGCTCACGGCAGTGCGGGCGCGAGCGGGTGCGGATGACGTCACTCTGACGTCAGAGCGCGGCGAGGGGCAAGCAACTCCGCGGAAGTACTTCGATGCATTACGTATTATGCACACTATCGTGCTCTAAGTCAACTGTGCTAAAACAAACGACGGAGAACTGATATATTGTTATTACCTCCGTGTTAGTTGCGCCCTTTTGAGGGTTTACAAACAAAGCCGTCGGTTAGAAGCCAGTAACCCTTGCACTGTTCGAGAGAAGCGGCAGCACACAAGTCTTCTACCTTACTGTCGCACTTGTCGCCCCTGTGACGTCACCGGCACGCGCTGGCGTCCGCGCCGCTGGTAAGCCATCTCTCCTCATTCCTCTCGAAGGGTTGCCATTCTTTGAACCTAATCCTTTGTCTCGTAATTTGAGCCTCGAGATTGGCCCAGATTTGACGTGCAAGGGAACGAACTAATTCTCAAGAGAAAAATATCCGTTTTCTCTGAAAACTGCCTACAAGCTCCGGCAGACTGTTCTGAGCATGGCAATAACAATTGAGCCGTGACTTGCAAGGCTAATCGTCCGTTTGACTTTGCTTTATTACAGGTGGTGTATCTACTGTTCAAATCAAATACGAAGCACCAGTGACTTCTTTACCTCTAGTATAAAAGCGCAGCAAGCTTTGGCACAGCGTGTCTTCGTCACCACTTTTTTACCGTTGTCCTTTCTCTTTAGCTTTCATTTTTGCCCTTTTGGCTTCTACCTAGCGCACTTCATCCTTCGATGCAAAAAACCGTTGAGAATGCGCTGGTGTCTGCGTTTCTCTCTTCCCTTGCTCTCTTTTACCAGTCGGTCCTCTCATTGGACCTTCTGCACCAACCGGACCGTCCAGCTGGAAGGCTTGGCCACTCTCCCGAAACGGAGCTCGTACTTCCATCGCTTTTGAAGAATTCCTTTCCCTCCACTAGAAAAGCAGTTAAGACCTCTTGCTTTATGTCTAAGTTCCATTAACCCGTTTCCCCGTTTCTAATAGTATTATTCAAGCCATCAAGTATACTCTAAATAGGTTCCACTCATGGTCAGTTCCAAAAATGAAGTAAAACCTCGTTTTGGACAGGCTATCGTTTGAAGACCTCCTTACCTACGGCTTCACAGCTGCAGCACAGCTATGAAAGGGATTTGGCTGCAGTGGAATTAAAGGACCATTTGAGTAGCCAGCAATACGTAAAGTCTTTTCGTGAAAACCAAGGACACCGTACCCAAATAACTAAAGGCCATCAACCCCAACCGGCCTCTTCGGATGCACTCTCCGGCAATACGACGACGATCGGCCTACTGCGCGCCTCCCGTTTCCAACTTGAGGAAAAAACAACAATCTGAAGGGTCAGGTGTTCCAGTGAATAACAGCGATTCTTCGAAGAGTTGTTACTCAAAATCGAAGCAGGAACCTCGTCTCTATGAAATCAGTGCAATAGATGCCCTTATCAAAAAAGGCGTTCTGGAGGGAAAATTTAGAGTCACAAGACGTTACTGTCGTAGTTTCTACCCGATGGCATAGGAATCGTGAACGAGAGCCCAAGTTTTCGCTCAGTTGCTCGGAATCGCTGATTCTCCGATAAGCAGCAAGATAGATAAATTGATCTGTTGACTAAGAAGCACCCCTAATGAGAGTAACATTGTAGGATGACAATAGTACTGCTCACATTGTCCTTGATAATCGCCGTCAATGGAAACATTGTCGATGACACGCCGTTAAATGTGCTGAGCAAGACGCTCAACACTTCGGATCCGACGGCAGAGATGACCTCTTCTCCTGAGGAAATACTCCAGGTTTTTCGCTTATTTTTTGGATGTTATTTTCAGCGAAGAAAAGAAGGCTTTGGTGAAATGAGTGGGATCAGAGAGGTAATGTTACAGGCTTCAACGTTCCTCACATCTATGCGGAGGTATGGCTTATGGAATAGTTGTAAAAAACGGGGGAAAAGTCTCGCCTAATCTGAAATAGAATGGCTCTCGAGCAAATTTTCAAGAAACTACAAAAGATAAACCATGACCATGTCATTAAGAGAGGACCACTCTATTCCCGAAATTAATGGAAAAGAATGGAGTGGCTGAGGAGCTTTTCCAGGGCGATATCCTTCTCGCAAAGTACGTACTAGATGAATTGAAAAAATGAAACGGTTGTTTGTCAATAAGTTCTTTTAAAGGCCTCACGTTGTGGACGTTTCCAACAATGCTGGAGACGGAATTGGGGGTGCCGGCATTGGGGAAACCAGCCGAAGCAATGCGTCCAAGTCAGTCACGATCCCCGACCTGTTGTGGAATGAACGGAAATAGTTGTACTACTAACTTCAACGATTCTTAATTAGTGAGACATAGAGGCCTTTATCGCGATTTAAAGGGGAAATCACAAGCGAATTCCAGGTAACAATCTCAGAACGATTTTCTTGAAAGCAGCGGAATTGTGGGAGAAAGATTCGTGCGTCAAATTTGAGTATAACGATAAAGGTGAGAGGGAAGTGGTTGCATTTTTATGAGTTTTATGCTTTTCACTTACTGTCCTCAAACATCAGGGAACAAGCTATGCGTAATGAGCGAAATTCTTTTCCGAAAAAATCACAGTAAAAAGGCAGTTTTACACGTACTTTGCCATTCCTATTTCACTGTGCGTCTATGCAGGGGTGAGGGCAATGAAAAAAAGACACCATGACCCCATAGCTTTAAGAGAATTAATGTAACAAAAAAAATTCAAACCTAACGCACTTAAGTGGTATTGAAGAGCACATTTCATTTTGGTCAGAGAGTTCCACTGTGGTCCTCATATTGAAGCATTCTTGAAAGTCTGAAACAGGAACATGGTGCAAAGGTTACCAATTCAACGAGGTTCCCTACGGATAGGGTGTATTACAACGGTATCCGGAATGCTGGTCGGAGAGGGTCTTGCATAGGCAGAGGCATTCTTGAGCTCGAGGTGATGACAGATAACTTTGTGTTCTAAGGGTGGTGAATGACCTTACAGGGAGAGCCTGCTTCTGCTTCATCGTAGGGGTCATCGAAAAAATGAGGAACATGAGTGCAAGTTATTACCATAAGTAGTAGTAGCTCCACACTTTTTGCGTTTAAGGAGCAAGCTTATTTCTGCAGTTTCGAATTCAGTAAATATATTCTCTACAGAAAGGGATGAGCTAATGGCAATCGCGGAACAGGCCCTCGATAACTTGATCAATGGCCACACAACGGGCACCTTTCGCCTGTTTTGAAAACATTAACATGGTTCGAATGACGCGAGGGATTAAGTTGAGAAAATTTTCTTTCAGCAACCGATCGAATCTTGGTGCACGAAGGGAATGGTTGCTTGTCATCAGTAGGAAAAATAGGAGGCGAGCAGCAAATATCACTAGGAGAAGATTGTGATTCGGTTGATATTGCCGCTCACGAGATTGGTCACGCTCTCGGATTCGATCACACCCATGTCTAGGGATGATCGCGACAAATTTATTACAGTGAATTTTGCAAATGTTGAGGTAAATATACTGGGAAGGAAATGGCAGAAGTAAGATCACTCAGGTTATTTGCAGGATTATTACAGTGACCATTTATTCGGAGAGGGCATGCGAACGCTTGACTTGCCGTACGACTACGGGAGCATTATGCACTATGGCAAATCGAGGTTTTTCATGAAATTTTTATCCTGCAGTGAATTCTTGCTTGCTGTTTTGAAATGTTTTTGAGTTGACACCTGTATCCTGTGACGGGTGTGTATCTGAAATCGGTCAAATTAGGTTCATGCAAAGCTTGTGCGAGCAGCACATAAATCTGCTCCCGGCATTAACTCCTGGCAAGCAGATAACTGTGCAACGACTCCACCATATGCACGTTCCTTCACAATTGCCTGTAGCATGAAAATGCATCCCCGTCAAATCGTCCCGTGTTTCCTCATATACTAATTTCGTGTCTAGTTTTCTCGCTTTCCAGTCTATTGGTGTGCTCAACAAGGACAACTTTCTATTAGCTGTGAGGTTTTTTTGCATGAAGTTTCCAACTTTGCCGAATTCTTTTAACAGCGTGTCGATAGACAAGGAGCAGCCAGCTATATTGCCGCTCGAGTACGACTACAGATATACAATTGGGTCACCGTTCGTCTCTTTCGTGGATCTGGCAATGGTCAATAAGCTCTATGAGTGCAAAAGTGAGGAGAAAAAATGAGCGACTGTTTTGAAAAAGTTTTTTAGAGCTATTAGCAAGTGATTTTTGTCTAACACTAAAAACAGTGGCGATTCTTTTTGAAACTCCTCTAAGACGCCTTAAAAATGAGAAAATTAGAGTTCGAAGAAGGTGGGAGTTGACTGGGGCATGCAGTAACGTGATGACGCTTCTGTGCAAATGCGCAGTGCGACGCCACTTGTGACGACGCATCGTCACGTTGAGGCAGCCAGGATTTCTTTGCGATTGATTCATTACATGCTATCAGAATGGTGCGATGTTGCTGAAGTGGTGGAGTGTAAAATGGGCGGTTTCCCTAATCCACGTAACTGCAGCAAATGTGTCTGTCCTGGCGGTTATGGTGGAGATCGATGCGACGAAAGAGTAGGATGATTATCAGTCGACTGCAAGAGCATTGAATATCAGTTATCTATATCTATTAAGCCAGAGGGCAGCTGTGGAAGTACAATTAAAGCAACGCCGAACTGGACCAATTTCACAATTGCTCTAGGAGATCCGACTGATCCTGAGCTCAAAGAGGACTTCACCAACTGTACCTACTGGATTGAAGTACGGTTGAGCGCTTTCACCTTCAACCTATAACTTAATACGTGCTATACTTAACAACCTTTACCTTCTATCGCTAAGTTGGTTAATTGGCGACGGAAATACGATTGTTATTCCATCGAAATTTCTAACGTTGCTTTGTCCTCTACCAAACATGTACATCACCTGTCATGTGCTCTCACGCTAAAAAAAAGCCTTCGAACTACGCGATTTTTTGGTGCGCGCACACGTCAAAGATGTGAGGGTCTTCGCCATGACGTCAGGATTATGACTTTGAACTTTTCAGTCTCCATCCGACACCGAAATCGAGGTTGAGGTCTTGAGCTTTCTGAGTACCGAGGATTATTATAATCATGACGGATGTGTGTACGGTGGTGTAGAAATCAAGACGAACAAGGACCAACGGCTAACTGGCTATAGGTACTCTCAGTGGAAAAATTTTGCTATGCATTCTCCTCGGAGTCCGTCGTTTTATCAACTGCTCAGGTTCTGCTCTAGTAGCACAGACGGGACCAGACTCCGTTCTCACACTAATCGGACTCCTATAATTACATGGGACAGATGGTTCGGATGGGAAGTGACTCTAGGCTATCGTCATGGTAACACAGTTGAAGCAATTTATCCGTGATAATATGCCATCTTATGAGAGTGACTTAGTTTCGAAAAGCGAACTTCGACTGACTCCTCGAACAGTTCAACCATTTCCCACTACCCCACCAGAACTCCTCCTCCGGATTATTTTTTCTGGACCTCCGGTAGAGCAGCACACGAATGTGTGGACTATCCAACGTAATGTAGATCTTTCGGACAGTTTTGATAGAATGAATAAGTGCATTTTTCAGCTGCCCACCTCACGTCAACACTGTTGGGACCTGCAATGATCCATCCCTGGAGGTCTATTGTCCAAAGTTTTGTAATCTGTGCTATACTCCTCAGTCTACCAACAGCAAAATCGGAGCTCGTCGTTCTCCCACGAACAAATAATGATCAAACTTTTTGAGGGGTGTTTTTATGTCAAGGAAAGTGACTCACAATAATAAATACTTCAATCAAGCTGTGCAATTTGCTAAGCACAGTGATCAGTGGGCTTCATAGTCAGCTCCATAGTGCAAAGTCATTTCTGATCTGTAGAATCTGCTCTGTGTAATCGTTCGATGTAGAGTTCGCCATACAATCGAGACAGATGTTGGGATTGATACGACCAATACGGGGGGCCGATAAAATAAGTGATGTAGACGGAGCCTCTAACGGTCCGCAGTGGACGATGTCTGGATAGCATCGCTCCGAAAGCAAGGGACACATGCAACTCAGAAATGCGGAAACTGGCAGGCCGGTAACTGTTCAACTTCCGAGCCCGATTGAACAAGTGAAGAGTGCTCTGTCTGCGATCTCTTATTGAGAGTCCTCACGGTTTCGCTCATCCTGTATCTCAAGGACTCACATTTCCAGTACCGGTAACGCAACCAATTCAACCTCTATCAGAGTTGTACTTGAGTGGAGTGGGATGCCCTTAGTTACTTCTTGAGACCTGCTACACCTCCATTTTATGTATATTGCATATTTCAAGGGTAATAAACGGTCCGCCTCCTCCTCACCTTCTTTCGCTAGTAAATTAACAACTAAACCACTGCTTTGTTGTTTCAGTAGAAGGGCAATCACAAATTTTCTTTTAGCCCAGTCACCAACAGTCAAAAAAGAAACTTGCATCCGCCTATATATAATCGCTAAAACGGTTGTGTTGTGTTTTTGTCTGTCTGACCGTAAGAATTCGTGAGCTCGGTACTAGAGGCTCGTCGGTTTCGATTCCAACCGAGATGATATAAGGGTAAAAATGTTACGGGATACATACTTATGGTGGAGAACAAAAAGTGGTAGCAATCGATAGGGGCTGATAAGAGGCTCTAGAACGCAATTTTGTAATGCGTGTTGACATTTAATTGTTCATACTTACAAGTGTTATGTGTGGTGGTACGAGGACGTAATGGGAAGTGCTTCCGCAGTAAAACTAGAGCGCTTACAGTCAAACGAAGTTATGTGAGTTGGGCAGGGTGAATATCGCTTGAGGATTCCTCAACGGCACGTCGAGGATTCTCTGCCCGATCAGAGACGATCTCTCGCGCGGACATTCACACTCGCCATGCCGTGCCGTCTGTGCTCTCCGCGCGGATGTTCACTCTCGGCACTACTCTCGCATGGTAGAGAGCTATGGTCGAGGATTTCCTCGACCGTTATTCACCCTGCTGTGGTGTGGATCGGGAGCCACAGGTTGGTGAGGGAAATAGAAGGGCTCAACTTCTGATAAATTGCGCGATAGGCACGGCCTGAGCAAAGCCCGTAAGAAGTCGCAGATTCCCCCGCCTACGGACACGCGCGGTGAGCGTCCCGTTCTACCTAGCAGCAATTCTATTGTGAAGTGGTCCGTGGGAGCAGCAGCGGACGGCAGCATGTTTCGATATATATAAGCGTAACCGGCCAAACAAAGTCTCAGCAAGGGATGAGTTTTATTCTCAATTCATTAACAATGGAGAGCAAAACCCTTAAACCGCTAAACCATCCAGTTTCCTGAATATTGGTCAATGTAAATCAAGGATAAGTGTTAGATGCGCCCTCATGATGAATGAGCATGTTTCATTTTCATTTTGAAATCGACAACAAAAATCCCCTTCACCGCTAAATTGTCCGAATTCAAGAAAAATGCTGGGTGTTTACAAAGTAACGAAATATGTATACGAGTTCCGCTCCGGACGCTATCTCGCGTATTCACGATGGGTTTTACTGAGAATGGGGAGCCTGCGGATCCTCCAGCTTCGCTAAAGTCTGTGAAGCGCGCGTTGGCTGGGAGCAAAACCGGTACTAGAAATAAGTATATAGGGGGTGGGACGAGAACATATCTGATGTGGACCAGGAAGTGATAACAGCTGATAGGGGCTGGTAAGAAGCGTCCTAACGCACACGTCACGAAATTCACAGCGCAGGGCCCAGCAGCATTGAGGCTTTGCAGATTAGTGGATACCAGGGGTGAGACGGGACATATATGGGTGTGCGGGAAGTGATAACTACTGATAAGGTTTGATAAGAGGCGTTAGGACGCAAAAGTCATAAAATGCATAGCACGCGCCCCAGCAGCAGTAAGGCGTTGTTTCGCAGATATGATGCTGGGAGTGGAACGGGAACATACTGATGGGGACCAAGAAAAGTTATAACAGCTGATAGGGGGTGATAATGAGGATAAGGAGCGATACAAAGCAAATGTACTGAAGTTCTTATCCAGATGTGGGATAAGGAACATCTCATTTTCTGCGATGTAATCGGGATCCATTCGACAGCTATCTGCTCGACCTACGATGGTCGGGTCTGTGGAAATGCGATAAATCGGTAATTCTATCGCATCACCGATAAAAGAAGTTAAGAAGAAGAAGACCGCTAAACTATCCCAGCATTCAAGTATGGTAGATGTTCGCGGTGAAGGGTGATAATAAACAAACTAAGAAATTGTACTACATCCATCCAAAAATCGTTCGCCTGCTAGACTTTGTTAATTCTAGAAAATAATGGATGTTTATTAGTATTCGAGCTGTGAGAAAATGCTGCTTTATCATCTGCTTTCCTTAATACCATCAGTAAAATCAATTGAAAGCAGCATGTTCACTCAAATACAACAGCCCGGCTATACTCTGTTTCACAGAAGCCTATGTTGACATGCGCGCGATAGCGGCGGAGCAAAACTGGTACCTATACTTGATATTCAACAGCGAGAAATTGATAGACAAAGCACTGTGTAAAGCATTCGGCAACCATGCATCCCTTTGGATTGCCGCATACTCTAATTCCGTTTAGAATCGTATTGGCATCTAAATGCAGTTCAGCCATAGCCCTTTTTGGTCGTATTGATCCTCGTAGAGAAGTCTGGTCACATTAGCGATAAAAGCCTTGGATGGATAGAAGGCTTTCCTGGCCAGATAGAGACTCCCGGTCG